TAAGTAAATAAGTTGTATAATATATGAGTAAGTAATCAGTTTCATAAAATATTTACTGTACTAATACAATCCATCAATGATCATTATAATTTAATAGGGCTGAGTACAAAATAAGTTAATAATTAACGTTACAATACAGGTTCAATACTGATTAAAAATAGCCATAAACTTTCATAAAAAAAAGGGAACGAAATATACTAGACATATACATAAATTGCCTTAAAGATGAAATAGGTACAGAACAGGTAATACAAATTATTTAGCTTTAAATCACACATGCAAAATATATTTACACTGAACCGTAAACACACTCAAACAAGTGATTAATCCTCAAAGAAGCAAGCGCTTCGAGGTTGTTTATGACAATAAAAATACTGGTTTGCAAAGTATCGAAGCTCGTAAACTCTTTAATAAACGTAAACAAAGCCAATATGATTGCTGAAAGATGCACAGGTTTCGTAACTAGTTGTGTAAATGAATACATCAATCCTAGCCCTGGTGTCTGTGATTATCTTAACACTTTAGGTGATATCGTCATTACCGAAGGTCGTTATCGTCATTATATCATGATATCATGTATGAGAAGTTATGTGTGTGTGTGGATGAGAGAGAGAGAGAGAGAGAGAGAGAGAGAGAGAGAGAGAGAGAGAAGAGAGAGAGAGAGAGAGAGAGAGAGAGAGAGAAGAGAGAGAGAGAGAGAGAGAGAGAGGAGAGAGAGAGAGAGAGAGAGAGAGAGAGAGAGAGAGAGAGAGAGAGAGAGAGAGAGAGAGAGAGAGAGAGATAGAGAGAGAGAGAGAGAGAGAGAGAGAGAGAGAGAGAGAGAGAGAGAGAGAGAGAGAGAGAGAGAGAGAGAGAGAGAGAGATATGGGGGCATGGGTTGGGGAGGTACAAGAGACAGACAGACTAAAAGAAAGTATAGCAGTTGACAAGAGTGGAGAGACACTGGAGGACAGCCCAACATGTTTGACAGCTACGCCACCGCCTGACGCCCCCCAAGAGCAGTGAACTCACCTAACTCGGGGATATACACAGGAAAAATATAATGAAAGAAAGTACAAAAAAAAAAATTAGTAAAAGTAAAAAATAAAAAATAATAATAAAAAAGGAAGACTCCTCCAAGGAAAAACAAGATCTCAAAAAATTTAAGACGAAATAAAGATAAGAAATGACAGATGAAGACGAAAGACTGACAAAGTTCAATAGCATTTGGAGGAGGTGAAATAAAAATTAATAAATACGAAATGATAACAAAAACTAATAAAACGAGGAAGAAGAAGAATTATGAAGAGTTACAAACCACGCGACAGCTCAATAGCTTTCCAGCTAACATAACAGACGTGGAATAACTGCATTGTTTCAAGCGCAGGTCAGACACGGACATAGTAATGAGTTTGGGTGGCAAGAAATAGGTGCTGCCTCGTGCAGATCAATAGACCTTCTGTAGCTCCCTAAATTCTTAAAAAAGAGTTTAAGAATAAAGGACACTACAGAAGAGTTATATTAAGCCATAGGAAGCAGCACTATTTATATCTACTCAGTCATATACATGTCTAACCTACGCTGGAAACAACCAAGCGATCCCACGTGTACACTGTTACCCGGTAATTTGTTGCATATATATCAACCTCATTTCCACCGGAACTGAGAGACAGTTTCCTGGTTGATACCTGCTTGATGGGGTTCTGGGAGTTCTTCTACTCCCCAAGCCCGGCCCGAGGCCAGGCTTTACTTGTGAGAATTTGGTCCACTAGGCTGTTGCTTGGAGCGGCCTGCAGGGCCACATACCCACCACAGCCCGGTTGGCCCGGCACTCCTTGGAGGAATAAATCTAGTTTCCTCTTGAAAATGTCCACGGTTGTTCCGGCAATATTTCTCATGCTTGCTGGAACTGAGAGACAATTTCCTAATATTGTGGGAGATATTTCCTCTGAAGGTATATCTCAATCGTCCATATTAATAGCGCACTTTGGCCAGTATAAACATTTCCCAGTATTTCTCATCTCCTCCACCCTCTACGTCAAGGCCAACGGGTGTGTTTACATTTCCCACATAAAACGAAATTGAGCACAAAAATCCTCTGTCAGCCTGGCTGAGGATTGAGCCTAGTTGCTGCCTTTTTTTATTACAAACATCCTCGCGTCTCACTGTAAGTTGGGTTCATTACACTGCTTTACTGGCGGCAGGGGGCGGCGGGGGAGTGGTTCTCGCTTCCAGGCTAACCAAACCCGATGGAAAATGTTGGTCTTTCTGTCCGTCTTTCCCCCCTTCCTCTGCCACCATTTCCCCTCTGGTGAGGGCTGACCACCAGGGTTGGATGGCAGCACTCGTAGCTCTCAGGGTTGGTGGCAGCCGAGAAGTACTAATGCTTAAGAACCACAAAATATCAATTTATAGCAATCTGAACTTTGGGGGTCATTCTTGGCGTCTTCTGACAATCAGCCAAGAACTTTACAGCCAGTTGTGTGCGATACACCGGAGTTTCTTGGCGACTCCGGCCATCCACCTTCCATTTCGTTCGGACATTTTTTAACTGGAAAACTATCCCTTATCTTCCCAGCGCCCCGTCAGAATACATCCTTCATCCCTTCTCTGACCTGCGGCCGATAGAGAAAAGGAAATACGAAGTTAAACTAAGCGTAAACATAGGGCAATGAAGCACAGATGATGACGAACGTGAATGACAAGAGAACGAAGACTAAGGAAACTCTTTGTGTTCACTACCGGTCCGTAATTGGTGGATTGAGAAGCGAAGTAAGGTCGCTGGTGATTGGATAAAAAAATGAGTCAGGTAGTTCACTTAATTATTTCTACTAGGTTCTTTCATTCGCTCCTGAATACCACAAACATCGAAGGCTATCAGTCAATATTTAATCTCCCCCCCCCAAGCATTTTTTTTTAGGCCTATATGTTTGCTATGGCTAGGCTTATACGTGTCTGCTATACCTAGGTCTATATAGCAAGTATTTCTCTTAGGAGCTTGTGTGTAAGGTATATATTTGTGATATCTGTTTGGCATATGTTGATATACGATGACATAATGATATATGTTGATATATACTGGCATATGATGATGTATGTTGATATATGCTGACATGCTCATATATGTTGGCATACGTTCATACATATTGATATATGTTCATCCTCTTGTGTTGTATAACAGCCAAAAAAAAATAATAATAATATCTTAATTCAATTAAGAACAGATAGTATTCACTACAGTAAGATGACTCTATACTGCATAAACAACAATCATTACAATGATATGATTGTACAAGTATTGTACAATCCATACACATTGATACTTGCTTTGAACAAGTTGTAATTTGCCTATGTTGCATTGAAACTACAAGCCATACATGATATTAATACTCAATCTGTCCAACCACTTGGGCTGGACGGTAGAGCGACGGTCTTGCTTCATGCAGGTCGGCGTTCAATCCCCGACCGTCCAAGTGGTTGGGCATCATTCTTACCCCCCCCCCCCGTCCCATCCCAAATCCATATCTTGATCCCTTCTAATTGTTATATAGTCGTAATGGCTTGGATTTTTCTCCTGATAAAGAAATCTATACTTAATTCTGTAAGAGGTTAGAATCTAACAGGACAGGACAAGTCTCTGTAGCATCACAGGACCCACCCTGCGTTCATTCCTGCGTTCATTCATTCCAACACTTAGTTTGTCTCATATCCCTAAACCATATGAGGAGCTTTACACCCACAATACCATCCAGGTCGACGGAGCACGCAATAAAGGCGGTATTCATCAGCAAGGTACACATAAAAATGTGTCTTATGGCAATATCAAAGGAAGAAAATTTACGACGGAATAGAGAAGTAATCAAACAGAAAGTGACAAACCGATACATGATACTGTATATACATATACAGTATCATGTATATGTCCTGAGATACATATACATGTGCTGAGCAATATAGCAGTATCAATATTACTTATTAACAAGTCCAGTAGGGAGGATATAATGATGTTGACTAACAGGAAAAATGGCAGGATATTTTAAAACTTATTTTGTGTTAGTGAGTAAAGGCTGATTGATGGATTCATTTATTATGCACCCCATACCCATCCCATGGGGGGGGGGGGGGTGGAAAAGGCTAGAGGGGGCACATAATGGGTTAGGAATCGAACCTGGAACTGAACCCCATACGTATTTTGAACCTATTTTGCCGAGCAAATGACAATCTTGTAAAGCTAGTTACACAATTGTTATTATTATATACACATATATACACATACATATACATAAATATATATATGCATACCTTGCGAGACTGCGGTTACCTTGCGATGATTTTGGGGCTCAACGTCCCCGCGGCCCGGTCCTCGACCAGGCCTCCTCGTCAATAGGCAATTGACGAGGCTAATTGACAAATGCATATCAATAGTCTTTTTTATATCATAAGTGATTCTAGAAGACGCCCACAACAGTGTCTGTACAAGGAGGCTGTTTACAGCTGTGGTGAGTCAGTCACACAGTTACTACACCTGCTCCACACCCACCCACCTGGGCGGCAGCTCTACACTACACCTGCTCCACACCCACCCACCTGGGCAGCAGGTCTACACCACACCTGCTCCACACCCACCCACCTGGGCGGCAGCTCAACAGTCATGTGCATCATTACCTACAGTAAACAAACTATGGAGACTTGGCTAAGAGTCTTGGCAGTACACCATTATCAATTATTTACACATTTCTTGAACACCACTAATGGTGTTATCTCTCAATTCCGCGATTTTTTCAAATTCCATTATATAATGACGCAAAGTACGTGAACAGTTGTGCTGAGAGAGTTTACACTTAGACAAGTGTTGGTCAGCAGGTGATGCACTCTCCCAGAGGCACTCGTAGCCGAGCCTAAGCCTAACAGTGGTAACATCTAGAAGTCTGCTAACCTTATTGGATGACCCATAGACGCGCGGTTCTTCCTGCACCAGAGAATGATGACAGATGGAGTAACTGGTGTGAATTTCACTTTGCCTCAAGTCTATGAGATTTTCTTGCTGTTCCCGGCACATTCTGCCCTCAGGCTGCTCACAAAGGCAGTCGGAGATGGTAATCAAATCCCGCTTAATGAGCAAATGTTTTAGCCAACTCATCAGTTCTATCATGCATTCGGAGACCAATACGGGAAGGAATCCACAGGAGACAAACTCTGACTCCATCATTAATTATTTCACTATATCTGTGTCTAGCTTCAGACACAAGCACGTCACAATTATACCTTGGGGAGCTGAGGGCAGTCAAGGATGACAAGGAGTCACTTACAATTAACGTGTCAACTTTGGATTCATATACTCTTTCGAGCGCAAGGAATTATGGCAAACAATTCTGTTTGAAGAGTGGAGGCCCAGTTATTTGTCATCAGCAGCAGGAACCATCTCCTGCCGTCACGACAACTGCACTTCCAGCTGCACCATGGGACTGGTGCAGCTGGAAGGTGCAGTTGGTGCAGCATTTACATCCATCAGTGTAAATAATCTGGGAAAGGGAGCGCTCTCTGACCAAAGCATCAATTTAGCATAAGGCACTGTACTTTGCATCTTGTCGAAGCATTAGTTGTTCTTTAATCAGCTTCTTGGGTGGGAAAATGTCGTTTCTCTCTTGGTAGAGGTAGTAGGCGTCCATCAGTCTCAGGAGACTATGGAGTTGCGCTCTGGTTGTCGGTCTGGAGTGGCCTCACCAGGGCGCAAAGTCAGGGTAGGTTGATTCGGGGGGAGAAGCTGTTACCCAGGCAGCAGGTCCCCCCTCTCCACGGCGCTGAAAGTCTCCAAAGGAAAGGCACACGCCAATACGGTAATACATATTATACATTCTGAGTACAGTGGCTGTTTTGGTAATCAGCATTCCTACAGCATTTGGAGAGATGCTGACCTTCAAGATAGAAGGCTTGGAGGACCTCAGTGCACGGGGGTGGGGGGTGGGTTAGCATCAGCATCTTGATGCCAAATTATATATATTTTGTCTTCCAGGTCATGAGGGAGAATGTAGATGTTGATGTATACTGGTATACCTCATGAGGATGTATACTGGTACACACACATCAGGTCATGTGGGAGCATGAATACCGCTGATGTATACAGGAGGATCTGGAGTCAGGATATGAGGATGGTATGTGATCAAGTTATGACGATGGGGGGGGGAAGGTCTGGGGGGAAAGGATAAACAGGTAGTCTCAGATGGTCTAGACCAGAACAAACAGATCTCACTATATAACAGGCTAAAAGCGAAACTAATTTCGAACAGACCATGCAAACCACCTCGAGCAAGCAACGCAGTTTGCGCGACACACAATGCAATTCACACCAGGCAGCTATGCAGGAAGGTGACAGACAGGCAATGCAGGTCGTGCAGGACAGGCTATATACAGGTCCGAGACAGGAGGGAGGGAGGGGGAGGAGACTAGAGGGTCGAGGGGGCTGGGGTTTGCTCCCTTCCCCCACACAACCTCACGCCCTGATGAACAGCAACTCGGGATATTACCTCTTGCTCCTTGTTTGAAGCTCACCAAAGGCTACCGTCTCACACAGACCCGAGAAGAAATATAGGTAAATAGGACACGCGTAACAGGAAATGGGGATCCCGACGCCGGAAGGCGAAGGCGAATTTGGAAATGCAGGAGTAAAAATCTATTTATTATGATGGAAATGTATCTATTATCAGGATGATTTGCGGGCTCACCATAGCCCGTGCTGCTTGGCACTTTTTGGGTAGCGAATCTTGAACAATAACATTATAACGATGGTTAGCTAAATAGGAATAAAAGGCAGAAATTCCATAAAATCCTAGAGAAAACGAGGAAATATATTAGTTCGCTGAGTCGAAATATATGGTTCCCAGGGCCAGCATTCGTCAAGCGTTCACGAAACCTGTACATCTTTCACCAATTATTATTTACATATATTGAGCATTTTACGAACATCGAATCTTCACATTCCCAAGGTTATAAACAGCCTCGTAGTGCTTCGGAGATCATAAATTGTTTAATAAAGGTAAACACAGTCGCCATGATTAAGAAAAGATATAGAGGTTTCGTAAATAGTTGCGTAAATGCTTTTTAAATCATGGTCCATGGTCTATATAACATGTGCTTTCGTATACAAAGGCCTACTTAACATGTGCTTTCGTATAGTAGGGCCCCCTACTTAACATGGCCTTTCGTACAGAAGGACCTACTTAACATGTCCTTTCGTACACAAGGATCCACTTAACATGTGTTTTCGTACAAAAGGATCCCCTTAACACGTGTTTTCGTACACAAGGATCTACTTAACAAGTGTTTTCGTACACAAGGATCTACTTAACATGTATTTTCGTACACAAGGATCTCCTTAATATGTGTTCTCGTACACAAGGATCTCCTTAACACGAGTTCTCGTACACAAGGATCTCCTTAACACGTGTTCTCGTACACAAGGATCTCCTTAACACGTGTTCTCGTACACAAGGATCTCCTTAACACGTGTTCTCGTACACAAGGATCTCCTTAACACGTGTTCTCGTACACAAGGATCTCCTTAACACGTGTTCTCGTACACAAGGATCTCGTTAATATGTGTTCTCGTACACAAGGATCTCCTTAATATGTGTTCTCGTACACAAGGATCTCCTTAACATGTGTTCTCGTACACAAGGATCTCCTTAACACGTGTTCTCGTACACAAGGATCTCCTTAACACGTGTTCTCGTACACAAGGATCTCCTTAACACGTGTTCTCGTACACAAGGATCTCCTTAACACGTGTTCTCGTACACAAGGATCTCCTTAACACGTGTTCTCGTACACAAGGATCTCCTTAACACGTGTTCTCGTACACAAGGATCTCCTTAACACGTGTTCTCGTACACAAGGATCTCCTTAACACGTGTTCTCGTACACAAGGATCTCCTTAACACGTGTTCTCGTACACAAGGATCTCGTTAATATGTGTTCTCGTACACAAGGATCTCCTTAATATGTGTTCTCGTACACAAGGATCTCCTTAACATGTGTTCTCGTACACAAGGATCTCCTTAACACGTGTTCTCGTACACAAGGATCTCCTTAACACGTGTTCTCGTACACAAGGATCTCCTTAACACGTGTTCTCGTACACAAGGATCCACTTAACATGTGTTCTCGTACACAAGGGAGCTACTAAAAATGTGCACTCCTTGCCTCACAAATCTTAGAGTTTACATCAACAAAACTCACACAAACGAGCTTCAGGACCACAATTTTAGCGCAGGCGGAGTTGTTGTTGTTGTTAAAGATTCGCTACCTGGAACTAAAAGATCCAAGTAGCACGGGCTATGGTGAGCCCGCAGGCGGAGGAAGAAGACAAGGTGGTATTCCTCCACCTTATCATTCTCCCGCGCACAAAGCCTTGATGAACGACAATCGGATCGTCTTTAGTTGTTTTTTTTTTTACCCCCGGCGACCACCGACGGAGATAATCGCCGCTGGAATCGGGTTATGCGAGGCGGTGTGTGGGATCGAATGCCTTATGTTCCTGGCGCGAAATTCCCCACATCCGATTCGTATTTGTCTTCCCGACCTCCTTAGAGGTTTTGGTCCATTTACGTGATGTATCGTCTACTTATAGGGGTCTTCACGACCGAAATCCGCATAATAAATTGGCTAAAAACGTCTGCAGAATAGAACAGTTCACGCTGCAACGAGAGCTTTTGTTGCTAATGACAACTGCAGAGGATATATATCATGCTTGAAGACACGCGGCATTCACTATTGAAGTTTTCTCATAACAGGAAATGAATGTTGCAAAAGGCATTATGAATCCAGGAAACACTTCTTTGTCGTCAGATATGACGAATTTTATGGGTTCATTAGCAATTACTAAGAAAACCGCGTCGTTTGGCCTCGTGTTTGCATGCGAGAATTCAATAAAAAACTAAATCACACAGCCTTACCTAGCAGTAAAATAGGTACCTGGGAGTTAGTCAGCTGTCACGGGCTGCTTCCTGGGGGTGGAGGCCTGGTCGAGGACCGGGCCGCGGGGACACTAAAGCCCCGAAATCATCTCAAGATAACCTCAAGATAGCCTCGACAAACCACCGCCAGAATAATAACTACCAGCAATAAATTGACTTTCCGATCCTTGTTTTGTCTCAACATAGATCTGTGTACCTGAGGGGCCTGACAGCTGAGTGGACAGCGCTTTGGAATCGTAGTCGTGAGGTTCTGGGTTCGATCCCCGGAAACAAATGGGCAGAGTTTCTGTCACCCTGATGCCACTAGTAATAAATAGGTACCTGGGAGTTAGACAGCTGCTACGGGCTGCTTCCTGGGGTGTAACAAAAAAGGAGGCCTGGTCTAGGACCGGGCCGTGTGGACACTAAGCCCCGAAATTATCTCAAGATAACATCGTTTGTACCGTTTGGGAAGGAACCGAATAACGCAAACAACCTGTTTTTGTTTCTTTGTTTTCTTCTTCCGTTTTAATACAGATTCAAAACACTTGGAGCAGTAGCATAAATGGTACACACAGACACACACACACACACACACACACACACACACACACACACACACACACACACACACACACACACATACACATACACATACACACACACACACACACACACACACACACACACATACACACACACACACACACACACACACACACACACATACACACACACACACACACACACACACACACACACACACACACACACACACACACACATTTTACACACGTGTACATAAACAAAACAATGGAGTAAACACACTTGCAATACGTTTGCTTGATATTGTGAGGTTGCAAACAACGTACGATGCACACGCGTGCGCGCATGTGTGTGTGCCTGCACGCGCGGATGAACTCATCTATATGTATTCACGTGAATGTTTGAACGTTAGCTCCTTAGCCCCAACTCTCAGAAAACAAAAAGAAAACATATAAAACGACAGTAGCCAAACACAAGCAAACACAAGCAAACACAAGCAAACACAAGCAAACACAAGCAAACACAAGCAAACACAAGCAAACACAAGCAAACACCCAAAATAAAAAAAAAATATTAATTTCAACACTTCCTTGTTCGCAGAAATTGAAAAAAAAGAGTGTGAGACGACGATAATTACTTAGTAGTTATAAAGCAT